TTTTTTTTATGAAATGTATTACCCAAGCTTTTCGTTGACTAGGCTTTAGCATTTTCTTATTTACAGTGTTATCTCAAAAAATATAAAAATTTTAAGTCTCTAAATAATTTTAAATTGCAGATTCATTTTAAATGTACTTAAAAACTTCTTAGCTTTCAGATATGTTTACCTTAACAAACAAAAGTTTAATTTCTAAAACATAAGATAGAGGCAATATATAGATAATTTCAATGATAGTTTAAAATCTTTTTGGAGTATTTAATCCATGGTTTCTTAGTATAAATGACTATTGCTTTTCTAATCCATTCTGGTAATTACATATATTTTCAAATCCATTATTTAATTCTTCTTTTTCATAATCCAAATTTAATTCTTTTAAAATATAACTAAAGTAAAAATCTAATAATAATCTTATGATTTTCTATAATAAGAACTGAAAAAATGTTTAATCACCACAGATATACAAAATCATTTTTTTAATAAACTGAAAATAAGCCCTACTCATCTCCTAGGTAGAAATGAGAACTTTTATCAATAAACTGTTTTTTACTACCTTCTAATTATCTTATTAGTAAAATTATTTTATAATGTTTTTTCTACTTTTTAAATAATTACTAGAATTTTTACTATCGACTAATGGTTCACCGCTTCGACTCACAAGCTTCTTAAAACCGCATCTTTAGAAGTGAATTTTCTATAGCTGTGATTGCAATTAAAGCTGAGTTTTAGAAACACTTATGAAATAACCAAGGTTTAATAATTAAGGTGATTTTCTAAAAAGATATATTTATCTTAAGTTTTAAATGCAATAACTTATTTTTAGAACAATTGAAGTTATTGTTTTATGATCCAAAATAAATATAACTATCAAATTTCTCAATTATAACTTAAAAACTAGAAAAGAATAGAGATTATGTATTAATGACTCATTTTTATCGTTTGTCCTTTCAATAACAGTTTGTGATTTTTAATAAATATTTTTTAAACGTAATATGACTAAGTCACAAAAATTATAATAAACCAATAAAAGAAATTATCCAAAGGGTTGCTTTATACTTAGTTTACCTAAGATTACATAGTTTACTGTTTAACAATGATGTTTCACTATTATTGAATAAGTTATATATAATTTGAAAATTGAAATTATTAAGATATTTAAGAATTTTAAGTGTTTTAGAATATTTTTTAATTAATATATGTATTCAAACAAACTATAATTCATATATCTCACATTCTTTTATCTCTGGCTTATTTTATCCAAATAAATATGGATCATCATTTTAATTCTTATATTAATTAAATTAATATGAATAACCTAATCTAGAATTACCATCAGTAAAATCACTATTTATTTAAATATCATGTCCACCTCCAAATATAGGTCCACAACTTGAATGACATTTAATAGCATATTATTTTAAATCTTACTTCAAAGGATAAACTTAATCATGAGTTTATGAAAATATAAAAGATGATAATGTATTATCTTCTATATATTTATCACCCCAAGATTCCCATTTACAAGGAGAGTATGCTCCAAAGATATAATCACTTTTCGATTTAAATACCATAAGTAAGTTCTCTTTACCATTTACTTTATTCCAATATTATTAATTATTTAATCCATCTCTTGTACCTTAATAAATCAAAATTGACTATTTTATATTTTTTTTAGTCCTCTCTTATAAAATATAAAATATTTTGATCCAGTAATCAGCTTTAAGTAGATTTGGTTTTACTAACTTATCAAATTTTAATTCCAAGAATGCTTACATCATGAATTACTTTGCAGCTTCACTATTAAAATAAAGTGATGGCGATTTTGGAACCATTAATTTAAACATCTCCTAATACATTTTTGAATTTTTAGTATTTTCTAAAACCTCGGTATTGATATTTTTTAATTAATTACTCTATTAGTTAACCTTATCATCAAACTATTGCATCTACTATTTATTTTCATTATTTAATTTATTTAATTTCTACTCTAATTATAGTTGAGCCTT